CCCGAGGACTTGGTTGGAGTGGTTGTCGTGGGCTGAATATTGTTACAACACGAGTTACCACTCCGCGCTCCGAACGACTCCATTTGAAGTAGTTTATGACCGTGCCCCACCGGTACTTCTTCCCTACACGATTGGTAGTACAGTATGGTCGACACCGTGGACAAGCTCCTGACCGACCGTGACACGTTCCTCGCAGAAGTTCGCGACCGGCTACTCCAGGCACAGGAATACGCCAAGCGGCATTATGATGCCCGCCACCGGGCTCTGCAGTTCAAGGTCGACGATTGGGTTCTCCTGCGCCTTCTCAACCGACTAGCTCGGTCACTTCCGCCGGGTGTGCGTGGGAAGCTAAGTCCCCGCTATGCGGTTCATTTCAGATTGTGGAACGCGTGGGCGAGGTGGCCTATTGCCTGCACCTGCCAGAAGGAGCCCGGATCCATGACGTTTTTCATGTCGGAGTTCTCAAGCCCTTCAAGGGCACCCCTCCTATGTCTACACCGGCGCTGCCCCCTCTCCATAATGGTCGTCTGCTTCATCGCCCAGAACGTGCTCTGCATTCTCAGCTTCGCCATGGCGTCTGGCACGTGTTGATCAAGTGGGACTCCTTACCTGAAGACGACGCCATGTGGGAGCCTACGGACAAGTTCCATGCTCGTTTCCCCTCGTTCCAGCTCGAGGACGAGTTGTTTCCCATGGAGGAGAGAGATGTTATGATCGGTAAGACGTACGAGCGCAGGAACCGTGTCTAGAGTCCGGAGTTGCTACGATATTATTGCTTGGTTCGCGATCACCAAACGAGCCGCACGCGTCGGGTTCGACCAAGTTCATTAGCAAGTCCTAGAATCTAGGACTATTATCTTTAGTTTGTTATTTGCGTAAGTCGAGTCTAGTCGGTTGAGGATTGCTTGTATAAGTACTACACAATTACGATTGAATGAATCAGCCTGGGATTGAGATTAATATCTCCCCTGGGCGCCCAGGCGCCTACTGTCCTTGTCGTGCTATTGTCGCCTAGCTCTGTTCGATCACGGCGCCTCCAACTCGACGCCGTGATTCAGGACCTCACGCCGTAGCCTCGCCTCCCTACTACCTCCGTAGCAAAGCACGCCGTATCACTTGGACTATATCCTGGAAGACTGCCATCTCTGCCCAAAAGCTTTCAAACCGAAAGATACTGGCTTTGGGAATCTTTGTGTCAATCACTACATTACATGGAATGTGATCCGAAGTTATCTTTGCAAGAGGAACCACCTGGTGTTAGGGAATGAGGCTGTCCAATTCATAGAAGTAAAGAACCAGTCTAGTTGTTCCAGAAGTGGGTTGGCTTGCATATTACTCCACGTGAATGCTCTGTCCTTTAGTCGGAACTCCACTAGACCAAGGTGTCCAATGGCGTCGTTGAAGACCATTGTGTCCTGCACACTTCCACCAGGCCTATTTCGGTCATTAAGCGAATGGTAGAAGTTGAAGTCCCCTAAGAAAATCCAATTATCCGTATCGGCAATGATAGGATCTCTAAACCAGGAAATAAAATTGGAACGTTCAGGTTCAGTACAAGGACCATAGACCGTGGTTGGCTTCCAAACATCAGCGTTGTGTCGAGAAGTGAAAGAGATTGTAAGCCCAAAACTAGTCTTGTCTATGGTGAACCCTTGGAAGACAGAATCAATCCAGACGACCAGAATGGCCCCGAGGCACCGTTGGAGGGGATCAAATCATATGAATCAAAATGGCGAGGAGCAAATTTTCGAATGAAAGAAATATCAACATGTTCCTTTTTGGTCTCTTGCAGACAAAGAACTGAACAGGCACTCTCTTTAATTTTTTTCCCGGACCGTGTCCCATTTCTCTTGAGCATTGGAACCTCTGATGTTCCAACAAAAAATATGCCAACTATGATTATTCATTATAAACTGGGGAGGGGGAGAAAATAACTGCTATGCATAACATAACAGTGACCGGAAGGGACCGAAGATAACCGAAAAGATCTCTTGGCCCAGGCTGGTGAGAGAGATGTTGGACGACTTATTCATCTTGGACGGGTTTTAGGTTGATCGAGCCAGGCGTCTCCATGAGTGCCTCGTCAGTGAGCTCACTAGGAGGCACACCGCAATTGATTCCCCAGCTTCTTAGCATTGAGGTGGGGATAGGATTAGCATTGCCATCTGCATTGGGGATTGGCAGTAGCGCCACTTCTCTTCTCTGCCTTTTGCCTAAGTGAACGTGCTTGAAACCACATTGATCTCCTCTGATCCTGGGGCTACGCCTTCTTGAATCACAACCAAGGAGTGTGAGAGCAAGAATGATTGATCACAGAGAAACTGAAACTCCGGACCAAGAAGGTTTTGTAGAACTGTCTCTTTGTAGTGGGCTAGGCTTCATTGCTGAGTTTTCAAAATTAAATTTCAGTACCAAAAAAGCAAGACCCATAGAGATCATCTCCTGTGATCCACTGCCCTGGCTCTCTGTATGCACCTCACGCTGAACCCTTCTTGCTCTCTGCCTGAAGTCAATAAAGTCAGCCAAAATGTGGAGGGCAACAACACTCCACACTAGCTGCCAAGGAACAATCTCCAGGCCCGTTATTTGATTGGCACTTTGCTCTGGGATGGTTGCTTGTGCCAAAACCTATTTGTTGATGATGATGGGCTCTGCAAAGAAGTTTGAATGTCATTTCTTTGGAACATGGCAACGGTCCTTGCAAATTGAAAACCGTCAGGTAGTGCCCTCCTATCAAAGACAAGACGGTCCAGGCATATGCTCTGTGCTACTACAAACTGTAGGTTCTCCTTGTTCAGCAAAACAGGTCCGGATGTTGCATCACTAGAGGAAGAACTATTTTCATCAGATGATCCAGACCCAAAAACCCTCTCGAAGGGAATGTCATGACCTGTGGCTCTGAGAGGTCGCATGGAGGAATGATTAACATCTATCATATCTTGGGGGAATGGGGTGTGTGCCGGTGGTACTTGCACAGCTTCCTAGGGGTTCTCTGGTGGATTTTCTGCTTGATCACCATCTAACTGAGCAGTTGCTGCTTGATCCCAAACATCAACAACCATATTGTTGTCACCCATTGCGCCGCCCAAGTTCTCTGCTTGATTGAGTGAAATAGGATGTATTGGATTTTGGCGCAAAAGTTGGTTAGGCGGGGAAGGTGAGGCGTCCGGAATTTTTTTTCCGCATTGATCGCCTGGGACTTCTTCGGAATCCACATGAGACATCGTTGAGTCCTGGTCAGACATCGTTTCATGGCATGTCCATAGTTGTAACAATATTTGCACCTGAGCTGACCCTTGCACGTATCTTTGTTGTGACCCGGGACCAAGCAACGGGACATACACTATCTATAGGGTTTGCCAAACAGCCATTGGTATTTGAAATTGCATTAGCCGGGGGATCAGATCTGCTATCAGTACTATTGCCTCCTGAATTGGTGGATCTTTGCATGCAGGGCGAAGAACACGGGAGAACAGAGCGACCAGGATTCGTGCGAGAACCAAAAATGTTAGCAGGAGGGACTTTGGTCTCCACGACAACAAGACGAAAGGCTCCAAACTGAATGACATGTCGAGGGTGTTGAACGAGAGGTTGAGCTAAGCGGACTTTTTTTTAGATAGGGTTTTGATCTTTATCTATAGTTTTGGCCTGTCGCTTAGCACTCTTGGATAAGACAGTAGTCCATTCTTTCTCTTATTCAATCTCCCAAGCTCTTTTTTCCCGCTCCCAATGGGCAGTACCATTATTCCAGAGATGGAAATAAACATCAAAAGAAAAATTGATGACTCTCCTGAGTTTGTATATAAGAAAGCCAACATGCTTGGAGGCAACCGAAAGTGGTTAATGCTAAAGAATTTGACATGGAATTTGTCAGCACTACCACCCAAACATGATTGCAGAGTGAGGGAAACAGATTCTTCTGTCAATCGGAAGAGAAAGCGACGAAACGTGGCGAGCAGAAAAAAAGAGCCGACGGTGAGGAGGAGTTGAAATGTACCGTCGAACCGAAGCGGTGATAGACTTCATCCTAGAAATCCTTTCCAGGGTTGAAATCCAAGCGGCCAACAAGATCCGAGGAGGAGCCCATGTTGGGAAGGCGCCCGGCGGGATCACTGGCGCTCTTCAGGGACGCCGGAGGACACTCATGGCTGCAATTCCGTTCGCTATCCTCTGGTTGCCGCAAAACATCGAGCAGCTTGCGTGCAAGCTCCGCAGAAGCCTCCTCCAGCTCGGAAGGAACGCTGCGGAACTAGCGCGGACCTTTGCTGGGCACTAGCATATCCCAAGGAAGGCGGACGCCACGGCCAGAGCAGCTGGCGGCGGCTTTGGCGGTGGCCGCCGTGGTCGGGGTGGCCACCGGTGCTAGCACAGACGCGCAGGCTCAGGCTGGCATGGCGATTGCGCGGGAGCTGCGGTCGGGGCTGGGGCGGAGCTCAGGGGCGGAGCAGACGAGGCCGCGGCGCACTGGTGATGCGCGGATGGCCGCCGGGGAGGCAAGCGTGGCGGCGGCAGCCGTCAGAACCTTTTACCTTGCCATTCTGTACCCCATGGCCATCATTATTCATCTATCTTGCACAAGTGCAGTTAAAGACAAGAGCCACTATTGGTAGTTTGGTACTACTAGCTCCACCAATCAGTTTATGGATGGAGTCCTGCTTCCACAATGAGAAGATCTGGAAGCGCGTTGCTGCTGCATGAGCCTTGAGGCCATCGATCCAGCTGTACCCAACACCATCACTGAACTGCTCCTTCTGTACATCGAGCTCCTCACGACAGCCATGGCGTCGCTCCTCCTTACGCGAAGGACATAACCTCGGTGACGAATATACCCTCAATATTACAGATTCTATTTAATAAATAATTGTTTTCAATTAGTTAGCTAGAAAATTGGAAAAATAAAGGTACCTAGATACCAAGTTACTTTCCCGACCATCGTAAAACACCTCATTTAGTAATGGTCATATATGTTGCTTTGTTTGAAAGTAATGAACTCTTGGTTTTCAAGTAGTTTCAGTCAGTACCATCTTCCACTCAGGATCGATGCTCATGGCCTGATTGATGAACTCCTTGTCCAAGAAGGGGACGCGAGCCTCGAGGCCCCAAGCCGACGTCGCCTTGTTGGCTCTCAGGCAGTCATACTGATGCAGAGCCTTAACCTGCAGAGCAAGAATCATCATGCATGTCAGTCAGTTAGTCAGTCAGTCAGGTTGCTCTCTTCTGTGTTCTCTGATATTCGAAAAATTGCAGTGACACTGGCACGCACTAACCTTCCTGCAGGTCTCGCGGTGGAACTCCTCCTTGTCGGGTGCCTTGTGGAAGTAGAGGTAGCCTCCAAAGAGCTCGTCGGAGCCCTCGCCGGAGATGACCATCTTCACCCCGAGCGACTTGATCTTGCGCGACATGAGGAACATGGGCGTGCTCGCCCTGATCGTCGTCACGTCGTACGTCTCGGTGTGGTAGATCACGTCTTCAATTGCATCAATGCCGTCCTGATGCAGAAAATTAACATTTTATTCAGTCAGCATTAGCTCCTATGGAAAAGAAATGAGCATTCGTTCACGGTTGGTACCTGAACATTGAAGTGGAACTCATGGTGCAAGGGTGCCCAGGTAGTCTGCCACCTCCCTGGCCGCCTTCAGGTCAGGGGACCCCTCCAGGCCGACGCAGAAGGAGTGGAGCTTGGTGCCCCAGCGCTTGGCCGCCTCTGTCCCGGCGAGGTGGCGCACGGCGACGGCCGCCAACAGCGACGAGTCCAGCCCGCCGGAGAGCAGGACGCCGAAGGGGACGTCTGTCATCAGCCGCTTTACCACAGCCTGAATTCAGTTGAAACAAAACAAACACCTTTTTAGTTTTCTGATGATGACCTCTCATTCAGTTCATTTGTCCGTGCTTACAAATTTTCTGGAAAAAAAAAGATAGACTTGAGTGCTCAGTTTTGTTCTTTTGATGAGTGCTTAGTTTGCTTTGTTCATCTCAGGTAAATTTATGGAGAGGTGTTGCTGGAGTAGAGATGCCCCGGAGGGAAGATCTCGAAGTGCTCACACTCGTCGTTCAGGGCCTTCATCTCTGACGAAATCCATACCGACCCTGCCAGCCATTCCAGATTATTATGTATTGTTCAGTTTCAGTTATACATTGGTAGATGCACTCTGTCTCTTTGATGTGGATAGTAGTATATTATGTCACAGAGAGAGACAGTTATTACCATCGATTCCCCATCCGATGTAGAGGGGCGAGACACCGATGGCGTCGCGGGCAGCCATGAAGCTGCTGCTGCTGCTTCCGCGGTCGCCATGGCGGGTGTCCAGCACGCAGCAGCACGAAGGAGAAGACGCCGTCCAGCATGTCCACGAACTCCTCTCCATGCTCCTCGTACTACACAAACACAATAACACATATGCATGCATCGCAAACCATTCGATCGCACCCGTCAAAAGTTCATGGTGATGAGGACTGAATCGAAACAGTACTGGTGCTGTTGACTGACAGACAGGCATGCTTCTTAAGCTGATTGCCTCTATTAATTAATAATCCCATTAACAGAGGTGTGCTTCTTGACGCCTCCGTGCCTCAGATCATTTGCCAGAGGTGGCCAGACTGTTCACATCCAAAAATCCTCTCTGCATTAGTGGGAGTCAAGATCAGAAAAAAAAATTGTAAATTTTGGGATAAAGATAAAATAAAATTGCTCCTTAAACCATTTGTCCGCTTTGTTTTGAATGAAGAATATTAGGAGCTATTTGACAATTCTTTTTATTAGGAGCTGTCCGAGATGATCTTATATATGGTTGGTTATTACGTCCATTTTATCATTTGGATAATGGATACACTGCTGCAGAATTGACTTTGACTGCTGGTTCATCACATAGTGGCTGACGCACTATCGCTGCTGTTTTTTTTTTTCTAAAACCAACAGTGATATTTGGGTCATCACTGGCTGTGTTCGACTGGCTGGCTGGCTGGTTGCCGGCTGGCCAGTCACCTCACAGAATTACTGTTCATATCCTGCCAGACCAGTATTTTCTTCTCACAATAATCAGCCGGAACAGTATTTTTCAGTCCTGCCGAATAGCCCCACTATCGGTTCATATCGCTGCCGGTTTTGGCTAAAACTGGCAGTGATAATGGGTCATCATTTGCCGGCTTTTGGCTAAAACCGACAGTGATAATATCACTGCCGGTTTATGGCTTGGACTGACAGTGATAGGTTGCACGAAAAATTTCATAACTTTGTCATATGATGTCCGATGAAGACAAACTTTATACCAAAGTTGTAGTACTTTTCGAGATCTATAATTTTGTAGTTCAAACTTTTTGATTGGAGGTCATTTGGATGTTAGAATATGTATCATAAGATTTTATAGAGTTATTATCAAAGGAGTACATATACTCTAAAGTCACAAGTAAGTGTGTAGTAGTAGAAAATGATCTCGGATGAAGCAACAACCAAAACAAAAGTTGTAGATGTCAAAAAGTTACACAACTTTGTAGTTCATTTTTTTTTATTTAAAGTCGTTTTGATGCTGAAATATTTGGTTCACAAGATTTTATAGAAGTTAATACCAAAGGAATCCATAGGCTCTATAGTCTTATAGTCTTAAGTGAGTGTGTAGTTGTAGTTAAGAATCTTGGATGGAGTTGCGAGCAAAACAAAAGTTGTAGATGTAGAAAAGTTATGCAACACTGTAGTTGACAACTTTTTCATTTGAAATCATCTATTCAACGAAAATTACATTTGAAATTTGAGTTTTTCAAACGACCTCGGATGGACACACGAACAAAAAAAAATGAAGATCTCGAAAAGTTATGCAAATTTATAGTTGACAACTTTTTATTTTAAATCATTTATCCAAGAAAAATTATGGTTGAATTTCCTCACATTTGAAATTTAAATTTTTCAAACGACCTTGGATGGAGAAATGACCAAAATTAAAATATCTAGATCCCGAAAAGTTATAAAACTTTGTAGTTGATAGCTTTTTTGTTTGAATTCGTTTAGGTCTCAAATACTCATTTGAAAACCGGATAAAGATAGAATAAGGACAAATAAGTGTCTTACAGGGCAGTGACTAGGGAACAAACGCAAGAAGCCGAAAGCTGCGTGGGTCGAGCACCGGTGGTCATGAAGCGTGCGTTTTTTGCGCAAAAAATGCGTGACTTGTGACTAAACCGTTTTGCGTGTTTTTCGACCAGGTGGATAGCTAGTGGATGCTCTCCTAGTATTAATAAAAAAAATTCTATTTTTAGGCCGTTTTATGGGTTTCGTGGGAACCTCATCAGTGTCGTTCTAGAATCGTATGGGTTTTCTGGGAACCTCGTCAGTGTCGGTTCTAGAAATGGCACATCACTGTCGCTTTGGTTGTGCATGTTCAAAAAGCGACACTGAAGGGGGTTTTTGAACCAGCACCAATTCTCAGCAGTGATAAAGAAAAACGTTGATAATAATAACCTCCATGTAAAGGATATATATATATATATATATATATATATATATATATATATATATATATAGCTATGATATATATTGCCCCGGGTACTGAATAATAATCAGTACCCTAGCCCGCCCGACGCACCCGCTCCGACCCCGAGCCACCCAATCGGTGGGCGCTGGTCCGTCATCCCCCTCCTTTTTTTCTTGTACTGCACCCACCTCCGTTTTTATTTATTAATTAATAATAATTTTATTTTTTGGTTCCACTTTTAGATCGTGGGAGACGCCGGTTTCTTCAAGACAAACCTAGATCGCCACCACCAGAGCAAGACGAGCCCAGCTCGTGCGCCGCCTGGCCTGAGCTCGCCCGCCCGTCCCCCATCCCGTCCCCCCGCCACGACCTCAGCTTCGCCGCCGCCGCCCTGCTCCCTTGTTCGGCGCCGGTGAGCCCACTACACCTGGCCCATGGCTGCTACCCATCTTGTTGCCTCGAGTGGGCGGCGGTGTCTTCTCGTCTCCACCTCTTCACCTTGTTCCAATCCCTATGTTGAGTGAATCTGCGGCGGTGGTAGCGCCTTATCCACACTACCATGCACGAGGGATTCGGCGTCAAGTGGCGTCCTCGCCATACTTGAGGATTCGGCGTCGATCCACGGCATCCACAGCGTCCGTCGTGAGAGCCCCTCTGCTTTGATTCGGTGGCGGCGGCGGCGGCCTCACCTAATCCGCACCTCATAGAACGCCGCCCATGGTGGATCAATTTCAGCGACGCCATCGGCATCATCTCCTTCAGCGTGCAACGCGACGATCGTCTGAAAGCAGAATCGCTCACCCCAACCATTCCTCGGTATGGTACCCATCCATCCGACTCACATTCGATGCCCCAATTTTGGTCCCTTTTAATGTTGGGGATGGGGATCTGACTTTACCTGTTGTGTGTAGATCAAGACCCTAAAGAAGATTGTCTGATTCGATATTTTTGCTCATGGATCTGGAATATATTTGCACGAAGATGCAATGCAAAACAGCAAAGATAGCATCACTGCAGCAACACGGCATTATCTCATCTGCCATTAAATGGATCTATGATCTGCTCCCCCGGTAATTCTCTTTCTTCCTTGTTGCACAAATTGAGCTCTGACGGCTGTTTAGCTTACTAGATATAGCTTATTTGTGTCTATCATTTACAGATTACTTGTAAGGGACCTTTTTGCCTAATATTTTTCTTACCAGTTCAGTTATGCATCTTACTCGTTTTTTATTTTCACAGTCAACATTTCGACACCTGTCCACCTGTCCAGTTTTCTATTCTTCTTTTGCTTGTTTAATCTAATGGGTTGCTAGTGTGTTATTCATGTTGTTGTTATCTCCTAACTATCCTCTGTTTTCTCGCTTTCTATTTTTAGAATAAAGAATCATACATACAATAGTAATTTGCTCTTTAATCAATCCAGTTCACTAATCTTTCTAAAATAAGTAAACATCTCAGAGCCATGGAATTATTGCTTAAGCAGCACTGTAATGATAGGAAAGGTTATAAATAAATCTGAACTTACCTTTGTCATGCAAATATAATAGTTAGCCTTCATTTGTTCATCACTACTTTTCCTTTCCGATCCCTCCAATTTTGATTTATCATGTTCTTTCAACGCCTTTCTTTTTCTATATGCAATGCCAATATCTAGAAGCCATTTCTGTATGCCTGTGGTGTTAGAGCCTTGATGGTGGACTGGTTGTTGTTTGGGACAACTATTTGAAACATTGGTGTGTAATCTATATGCCTGTGTTCTTGTTGTATTGAAGATAATTCCTTTTTTCCTTATTTGTACAATTTGTGGTACCCTAATGGTACTTACCCTCTATTTTCACTTTTATGCTCTGTTTTTGGACGCAATGCCCGGTTCTTTGGCTGCCACATCTTGATTGCACACACGTCGAATGCCAAGCTTGCCTTACTCTCGATGGAGTCCTCCGATACGTCAGGTCCCCTATACCCGCCTTAATCCCTTTCTCGTGCATCTTGTAAATTTAAGCTAGCCTTAATCCATTTCTCGTGCATCTTGTAAATTTAAGCTATTGATAGTTGAAATGCGGTATTCTAAATAGATTCTTACTCAATGCCTTCAGTTTCGGGTTGGAGTTGGTCGATAAGATGCCTAACAACCCAAAAAGGGTTGTATTTGAGAGCATATAACAATGTTCAGTACATGATTGCAATTTTTAGTGGCCTTTTTTATGTTTAGGAGCTGCTTTCCTCTCTAGGTCTAGAATGTTAATGTGATGATTCCGCATTTAGGTACGAGGTTCCTTTACAACCAGAGGTTACCCTCCTAACCAGGTCGACCTTCTACTGCCGGCTCTCTGAGCAACAGAGGTGCAAAGGGATTATGGCTGTACTATAATGTTAATCTCTTGCAATCTGGAATTAGTATTTTCAAAATGACCTGACAAAATTATAGACATTCATTTACAGCTAATCTAAGCTTGAGTATGGTTTTTTTCTAAAAATTATATGTATATGAACTGATGTCTTGACACAGAATTAGAGAACAAATTAACATACATGTATTTCAAATTTTGCTTGCCCAAATTTTGTGGCCAACCGTAGTTGAAGTGCTCGCTTCACTTCCAAGCCAATGGGTACTCAACATTATTTTTCACTGATTCAAGATGTTTCCTTGCAAGTCACGATCTTATGAACCTTTTAGCTTTTTGGTTTATACTGTGCGTGTATTTTATTGTTCTTGATCCAGAGGCTAGAGAAGATTTCTGTGCTGACAATTGCTAATTTGCTACATATATTTTTTTCAGAACTAAACCTTAGGTGCCACTTGAATAATACTTGCAAATTCAAAGCTATTTTTCCTTGCAACTATCTATCATATTCCACTTGAGTCGATTAGCGACTTATTTACATGCAAATTATGCCTTCGTCTTAATCTTGCCTAGCATTTTAGTATCTCCCATTGAGCTTTCTCAGATACCCAAATTAAATGTGCTCATGTATCTGACTTTTAAATTTGAGTATATTTCAATGAACATATATGTTGTAACATAACCTGTGTTTCCTCTTGGCCATCCATACAAATTTGGTGGGAAAATAGACAATATAGCGGTTGGTAGGATGATGGAGGAAATCGGTCAGACTCAACAGGCGGAGGACCGAATGAAGCGAGGAAGTGTAGCGGAGGACATGCAGCAGCCCTCCCTCAACTAACAGTCGGTCACGCTGAGCAGGCGACATGGTATAGTGAAGTCACGGGACACAAAGGTGGATGTTAGTGACATAGGAGCTAAGGAATTAAATTTCTCAAGGAACTAGAATCCACTCTGCGACTTACCACCACTGAGAGTTATTCATCTGTCCGGCTCCCCTCGTCCAGAGGTGTCCTCGACATGATCAAGCTGTGGAGTTTTTTTTTATATGAATCAAGCTGTGGAATTCATAAAGCATCTCCTTTCTTGCCTCTTTGCTATAGATTTTTTGTTCAAGTTGTCCCAAAGAGTAGGCCTACAGATTCTTTGTAACTATGATAGACGAAATAGTACTATTTTTGATTTGCAGCATAGACTATTATTGTTGACAAGATATGTTTGTATTGATCAAATTGAAATACTATTTATAGTTTACATAATGAATTGTTATTTTTGACAAGTAATTCATTATAGGGAACCTGGTATATAGCAATAAAATATGGCCAAATATATGCATCCCTGGAGGCCTAGCGAAAAAAATGATAACAAAAAAAAATCGCCGTAAAACAAAAAAGAAATTGATCGGAAATAGAAAAAAATTGCCGTAACCAGCGCGAGAGGGCAATAGACACGAAAGAAAAAAAAATCGGCCATAAACTCAGAAAAAAATTGGCTGAAAAAAACAGGCAAAAAAAAAGACGGAAACAATTAAAACCGGTCGGAAACGAGCACAGAAGGAAAAAAAATCGACCAGCACCCTCCTATCTGCGCGAACGTGGGCAGCGGGATGGCCTCGGTTACTGAATAATATTTAGTATCCTGGGTGCTAATTAGCGCAGTCCTATATATATATATATATATATATATATATATATATATATATATATATATATATATATATATATATATATATATATATATATATATATATATATATATATATATATAATTTAGCACAGGTCCGAGAGAGACCATGCAACATTGTTACACGTACGTACACAAGCCAACATGTAGCATTACTGCATTATTAGGAGTGGTAATAAAAGGGAAAATAAAGGATTGGAGGAAATCAAATCATGTGTAAACGCATGCAACCAATAATGAGCCATGATATCTGATCTGATGCATGCAGATCGACAAGACCGCCGTATAGCTAGGGTGTGAGACCGAGATACACCGGCGTGAGAGGCTTGAAGATGCCGTCGGACTCCAGTGCTGCCGCCAGCTGCGGCCATATGTTGGCGCTGAAGAGCCAGGAGCCGTCGCCTCCAGGCCGCGCTCCGACGGACAGGTAGCCGGAGCAAAGCCTCCCGTAGTCGCACATGGGCAGGGCGAGCGCAGCGTCGCCGAACCCAAAGTCGGTGTCGAGCGGGAACGACGCGAACACGGTCTGGTTCAACGTCGGCGAGCCCATCCCGAGGACGCCCTTCTCCATCACGTGATCGGTCTTGTGCACCTCCACCCAGTCCACCAGCTCCTGGAGGTACTCGTCGTAGTCTATGGTCGTGATGGCCACCCGCACCATGGCCGCAACCTCGGCCAGCGGCTTCCGCTCGATCTCCTCCACGGCGGCGCCGCCCAGGGCGTAGGCCGTGACGTTGCCGAAGTAGTTTCGCATCGCGGGGGCGAACTCAGGCGACTTCACCCGCCGCCGCGCGTCGACCATCCAGCCCATGCAGTAGCGCTCCTCGAGCACGCGGGACGCGGCCACGACGGCGGCGAGGACCTTCCACAGGTACGCGGACACCGCCTGGACGCGCGAGGAACGCTGATCGTGCTCGGTGCTGCTGGCCATGTTGCGCAGCTTGGCGATGCTGGCCGCCTCGACGTAGTAGAGGCGCTCCACGAAGCTGGCGTGGGCCGTCAGGGCGTTCACCATCCGGTGGTCGTCGTACGTGGTGAACAAGTCGTCGAGCTCGGCGCCGTAAACCGGCGTGTCGCGGGGGCGGAACACCGAGCGGTCGTGCTTCACGGGCATGGCTCCCTCGGTGATGCTGCCGGTCTGTGCCAGCTCCGACCACATCCTGAAGCACATGGCGACGCCATTGCCCCTCCCTCTTCCGCGCGAGCCCCATACCGTGCCCTAGCCGCCACTGCCTTGCCCTAGGGCACCGTCACCGCCGCTCATCCCCCAGCCGCCAGCGCTGCCAACACCGCCGCCTGCCCACCCCCCAAGTAGTGCCCATCACATCAGGAGTGTGGGTCTCCAGTGGCTCGGGCACTCAAGAACACAAGAGAAGACACGGCGATATATCCTGCTTCAGTCTATCGTGGCCCTACGTCCAGCAGTGAGTGGTTCTTTGTATTCAAGAGCACCTAAATCGGGGGTTATAACAAAGGAGAAAGAAAGTTTGGCAGGGGATTACTCGGTGCTGTCCTATGGCTCGTCGACGGTGAGGTTTGTTCCCCAGCTAATAAGGGAAACATTCCTCTCTCTTCCTAGGTTGCTGGGGGGAGGTTGCTCTGTTCTCCAGGCGATCTCCTCTGCTCAGCCTTCTGGCGAATGAGGAAGAAAGGGGAGAAATCCCGCTCTATGGGGGGCGATCTTCCCCTTATATTCTGAGGAAGGTTGGGTACAAGGTGGTTTGGGAGCTACGGTCTGTAGCCTTCATGCACCGGGGTCTAGGAGGGTGCTTTTGCGGCGTGTATGGACCTCGGCGTTGTTGTGGAGCCAGGGGAGCTGCGGGCGCCACCTAACGTCGCTGAGCCCCTTGCACTTGACCCCCAAGGGTTGTCTGCTGTAGATCGACCTCCACCGGGTGAGCTTTCTCGAGGCTTCCTTGGTAGTGAAGGCGTCCCAGCTCAGGGGGCTGACGAACAGGCCCGGGAACCCCGCGCCCTTGGAGTCGGTGGGAAGGCTTGTCCTATTGTCTCACGCCATCTGCGTGACATTGTCGGAGGAGTGGCTAATAGCGCCCCACGCCCAATGGTCGGGCTAGCACCAGGAAGCCCCCGAGCCTTGGGTGCTCAGCGGGCTGGTCATCGCTCGGGAGTTGGCCGTCGCTCGGGGCATCGGTGGCTAGTCTGACCGTCAGCTTGGGCGGGGATCGAGCTAGGGCCAGGCTTAGGCTCTCGTCGGTCCGAAGCCTAGGGCCTTGTTGAGCCCCTGAGCCCCCAAGCCTTGAGCGGAGGTGGTTGGCGTCGGGGCTTTGACCGATCTTTGGCCGGAGGATACTTGCAAGCGTACCCGATGGGTAAGCACCCGAGCCCTCGAGAGATCTTGGAGGGATGGGTCGGGGATTCTGTCGATCCGAAGTCTTCCTCTCATGGACTTAACATACCCCAATGTTTGACCACCAGGAGCCCCCGAGCCCTTTGTGGCCTTTCGGGTCAAGTCCACGATGGCGACGAGAGGCTGCCCAATCTTCTAAGACCAGGCCGATTGCGGTGGTGGCTTCCATTGGATCGGATGTCCATCTAGGGACACCCGAGCCCTTGGTTGGGGTGCTCAGCTTCGGGGCTGAGCGCTGATGGATCACTGCACTGGTGCGAGCAGGCCTAGAGCGAGGGCCCGGCAGATTCTATCGAGGAGTTGCTGGTTTTGAGCCCGCGGGGGATGCCCTGCTTACCTTGGCCTGTCGTGGATCGAGCAATCGGGGGCGTCTGGGCCCAAGCCTTGTGCCGTCTTATTGCTCGGTTTCCCCACGCCCTTCGGAGGGCTCGGTGACAGGCCCGCTTGGCTCGGGCCGTACCCATCGGTGGTCGGGTGCATTTCATACACCAAACTCATGGGGTCCACATTGGTCCGCCACTCAGTGCTTGCTGCCCCGACCCATTGGTGCACCAAGGGGGTGTTCACGGGCGCCCGTCGGTCAGGCCCTAGGATCCCTGGGTGCGCGGAGGGGCCTCCGTAGCCCCCGAGGCCTTCGTGGGACCTCTCTGCCTACGGGTGGGACGATTTCTCCATGCACCCCTCCCACTAACGCCTTGTTGATGGTGCTCCGGCCGCCGCGCCGGCTAGTGGAGTTAAGGCCGTAGATCAGATGGAGGAAGGGCTACGACGCTTCGAGCGTGCGGATCTAGGCCGTCGGCGTAACCGGATAGACTCAAGGGGAGGCGGGTCCCCTCGAACCTTGCGCTGGGGCGTGCGCAGAGTGGGCGGCGCGTCTCATCGGGGAGTGGCATGAGCGGAGGGAGCAGGGCGTGATTGACCCCGTCTTTACTGCACGGCTGCCTTCCCTCCACCGCTCGGCGCGTGGCCCAGAGAGTGAGCCGGCCCGTGGGCGCCCGTCCACTACGCCGATGATTACCGATTGGAGGGCTGGTGCCGTATGCAGCCTTCCACCCGGGGCTATAAGTAGACCCACCGAGGCACGGGGTGCCCGCCGTGAAGCGCCACGGGTAACCACCTCACTCCAGATCTGACTTGGCCCAGCCATGGCCGCAGCATTGGACTTGACAACTAGGATTATAAATATAAGTCTCACACAACAGGTAATCAGATACTCCTACTACTATATATACTACGCGTGCAGGTGCAGTACGCACAATAGCTAGCTGTAGGAAGTGATGAGATGGAGGGTAAGCAGAGCACGGTAGGGAAAACCATTCCGGTGATGAAGAAGGAGGTTCAAGCACTAGCCGAGAAGAAGGCGGCGGAGGCCATCCAGCGATACATGAGGCCCGAACTGGTGGAGAGCCCCAACGATATGGTTGTGGTTGCTCATGATGATGATGGTGAGACTGAGAGCATTCCTATGATTGACCTTGCTAGGCTTGTTGATTCCCAGACCTCGCAGCAGGAGGCTGCCCTGCTCAAGTCTGCGTGTGAGGAGTGGGGGTTCTTCCAGGTAATTAAGTCAATAGATTTCCGAATTATATTTAATTTGTAGTCTGATGGAAAAGTTAATTTTCGGGAGAAACTAACCTAGCGCTACTAGCATCCACAATAAGTACATGCATCAACAGCTAGCTGTGAATATTGCAGTTTATTCCCAAATCCCACCCTTATTATATCTGCTTTCATTCATTCATCAGTCAGAGAGAGAGAGAGAGAGAGAGAGAGAGAGAGAATGTTGCAGTAGTTCCTCGCCAAGGAATCAATACAAGATAATACCAACACACTCTATCCAGTCCAGCCTCACAACGCAGGCAGTTATAGCTAGCAGCTGCCTCTGCCACCCCCACGAACACAGACGGAGGCGCCTCCCTCGCGAGCCACAGTTGCGTCGGCTCACTGAATTCTCCCCCGGCCTTGTTGGTGAATCCTGACTAGCTTGCTGTTCAAAGCCCGCCTCGATGCACCTTCAGATCAGCCTTCAATCTCCGATCCGTGCTACGGATGTACTTCTGTAGTAGCAACAAATGGAGTCCCATCCCAATCCGCACACGGATCGATCGGAGAAAATGATGAGAAGAAAAATAAATAGTAGGAAATCACTCCGAAGAAATCAAGAAAACTTAAATATTCCGTCCAGGACCTTCAAGAGCCCACCCCTCCTCCTCCTACCGGCGGCTGTGACCAAGAGCAAGAGGAGCATGTGACCGGAGTGGCTCTTGTCTGGACCTGGGACTCGCCGGCTAGCTCTCTGTGCACATGCACTGGGGGGTGGTAGTGGTAGCCTTAGCCTGCCGACTGCCGTGGATTATGGGAGGAGGAAGCGAGTGACATTGTTGTGGTGGTGGGACTGTGGAAAGCGGCGTGTGGAAGGAATTACTTGCTTCAAGCAATTGGCGTGCGCTAATGATGAGTCAACATGAAGATGATCAATGATTTTTTGCCTTTTTATTCTTACTCGGTTCTAAATCTGGTAATTATAATTTTGTTTATTATTATTATCATACTGATTTACCAACGCAGGCTTATCTCCTATATATATAAATATTATATATAACATTAATTAAAAAATAGAAATTCCTTTTTTTCTAAATTTCCGTCCATCGCATTCCCTCCTTGTACATGTATCCCTCCATTCTCTAGAGAATATATAAGACTACTCTACTAGTAGTACAAGATGGAAATAGAGGTTAGAGTCATAGTTAGTATATTATTATCATTCTGTTATTCAAACTCACACCCTACGCTCTTATATATAGGGTTAAAATAGCGTAAATCCAACCACGATTCAAAGTCTAATTCTAAAACTCGTCACACCCCTATGAATGATATATAATATAAATTCTGTTGCAATGCATAGGCATGTTTTCTAGTATATAATACATAGCACTAAAATTATATATGTTTATTGTAGGTGAAAAACCATGGAGTTCCGGACACGGTTCTTGAAAAGATGAGCAACAACCTGGAGTACGTACTTCTTCGGACTTCCCCAGGACTAGAAGAAGAAATTTGGTCAGGTGCCAGCTGGTCTAGACTTCCAAGGCTACGACCAAGAGTCGGAACATCAAACGCTTGACTGGTCTGAAAGGCTTGACCTGGGTCCCGATCGTGACATGACAACATGGCCTACAACTCCTGCTAATTTCAGGTAAGTTTATATCTTATAATTCATTCAGTATATATTTAACTTGATGTTCAATATAATTAATATACGTACTAATAATCAAGACTTAATTACAAGAGCAGCATCACCAATTATATATATTATATATATTGTCGAGATCGATCCAAGCGTGAACTTTTAATATTTTAATTACGCAACATATATACACTACAACAAATCACAATAACCCCAACAGCCTAGCACTGTCAGAAAATATAGGGAAACTGTCGGTGCTATGGTTCCTTGACAGCCAGCTGTCGGGGAAACCCTGTCGGGGCTGCTATGTCGGGGATAAAGATCAAACTCCAATAGCACTGTCAGCACTGACTTTTACTGACAGCTATCACTGTTGGAGAAACATTATGTTGGATTAGTCAAGATTGGTGTTGGCTAGCATGGATCCATGACAATGCTATCGGGTAAAAGTATTCTCTTTTCCAACGGCTTACATGATCCTTGACAGGCCCACTGTCATGGACATTTTAAGAGACATCTGACACAGTATTCTTGCCAATACAATTATGGCAACGCCTATCAACCAAACGGTGACAACACTGCCATAGTAGCACCATGATTCGTTTTTATTATTTGTTAATAAAAAGCCATATATAGGAGCAAAATTAATTAGTAGGTCAAGAGACACAACCAGATAATCATAGAGATTCCAAATCTTCTCTTCTGTAGAATAATTAAATATTTGTTGTCTTGTACAGTAAGCATATTGAACTACGAGAAACTAAATAGTCATGACAAATATGTACAAATGGCTGAAGTTATCCACAAATAAGTACAAACATCAAGGTTCCTAATCTGATCAGAAAAATACATCTTGGTGAACAGTGGCGTCCCTGTCTCTCATGTGGCTGTTGTGATCATTGGCTGCATTAGTTTCTTGGTTTCCAATTAAACTTCCACCCATTCTATTGAAGGCCACATTTCTTGAGCTGTTTTTTTTTTTTTTGAATAACTTTGCTTCATTGATTAAGAGGATCATTACAATCAAGTTACAGGCATTGCTACAAGAAGTTAGGGGCGATGCCTGCAACTCGATTGTAATTATTCTTTTAATCAATGAAGCGAAGTTATTCCCAAAAAAACAGCTCAAGACATCAATTCCTTCAAAAAGAAATACCATAGGTGCAAACTCCTTAAATTTTTTATGTTGATCAATAATTTTGCACTCATGTGAGTTGACAAAATAATAAATTGTTTATTATTAGTACCTGCTCAGTAACATTATGAGTAGACTGCTGGGAAAAATATCGGAACGTACTTCCATCCATTCTTTATGTAAGCCTACACTCTCAGAGTTACTTCCCATGTGATTCTTCAAAAAGAAACAATGATCAGTGCAATTTCTTATGCAAAAACACCTATGAATCGATAATTCATTGCCTAAAGAATAACTATAAGAGATTATCACCTGCTGCCGATAAGTGTTTGGAAGTGCTTGTCCAGTAAGATGCTCAAATGCATTCCCAGTCATTTGACGTAAAATAGAATTTGTTGAGATGTTATCCATAGTGTCCTTCCAAAAAAAGTGTTCAAAGGTCTCAAAGGTTTATGACAGTTCATAGGGATCCATTCAACATATTTTCTAGGCAAAGTCCTTTCAAGCCGAATTGTGAAAATATTATACCTGTTGATAGATTCTTGTTAGAGATTGTTGGCCAACATGTTCCGATGAACTTCCACCCGTTTGCTGTAAGGTTGCATTCACAGAGTTGTCCTCCATGGTTCCCTTGAAATACATATAAGAAAAGTGTTTAGCTAATCAGATACAAATATATAACATTCCTAAGTACTTCCTAAGTACTACTAGTTCAGATACATTAATTTCACGCAAGAATATTACCGTCTGAAGAGGTGTAGGTGCAGAGTTAGGAAACAATCTAGATCGACTTCCCTTGTTCATCGAATCGAAATAAAAAGAAAAGAAAAAAAAGATTCCACAACATGTACATGACTACCTAAATAAATCTTGTAGTAACAGTAAGAAGCTAAGCATTGTACAAGGGCCCCAGATCAAGAGACATGGTGCATGGGTGCCAATAAAACCCCACTCCAAAGCACTGGTTGTCAATGTTGGCGACATTCTTGAGGTATATATATGCATTAATTACATTGATGAGCCGAACCACATAAAACATATATATGTGTTATCTTTTCTTACATGTATATATATGTTGTTTCCACCGAATAACGAACTAACATCAGATTAGTTTACCTACTATATATATTAAAAAGAGCTAGCACTTCTTATTTGTAGATATTGACAAATGGGAAGTACCAGAGCATTGAGCACAGGGTCACCGTTAATCCTCACGATGGGAGGATGTCCATTTCTGCATTTCATTTCCCAAAGTTTGATATGAGTGTGGGTCCACTATCTGAAATAGTTGGAGGAGAGCTCAAGAAACACAAGACCCTGGGAGTGGACGAGATTGCTAAGGTTGCTTTCTCCCCGAAATTTTTTGCTGATGGGAAGAAAATCAGAGAGTATGCCATGTTCGACAAAACCATTCCGGTGAAGGACGTTCAAGCACTAGCCAAGAAGAACGCGGCCGACCTGACGGCGGAGGCCATCCAGCGATACATCAGGCCGGATATGGAGAGCCCCAATGATATGGTTGTGGTTGCTCATCATGATGATGGTGAGAGCATTCCTATGATTGACCTTGCTAGGCTTCTTGATTCCCAGACCTCGCAGCAGGAGGCTGCCATGCTCAAGTCTGCGTGTGAGGACTGGGGCTTCTTCCACGTAATTAAGTCAACTAGTCCATCAATCTATGCTCTCGCACGGGCTAGAATTTTAGTAAATATAAGTATTATATATTATTTAATAATCCTTTTATTCTAAATTATAAAACGTTTTGACTTTTCTAGATATATTGTTTCTATTATGTATCTAGATAATACACCTAAATGTATAGCAAAAGCTATGTATTTAGAAAACTCAAACCATCTTATAATTTAAAATAGATGTAGTACATCTGACTAACAAAGAATTACTTATATTGAATTGTAGGTTTTTTCATTTTGTTTATTTTCTAACATAATAGACATAATAGATACCTTGTAGGGTATATCTAGTTATCAGATACTTATTAATTACTATTTTTTAAAAGAACTAATCTATATATTTTTTATCCATATTTATATTTTCCCTTTGCATGGACCCTCTATATTTTTTTATATGCAATTATTTTGAAACCTTACCACTAATTGTGGTGGCTCTTGTTGCATCATGTATCTTATGAAGACATGAATCTAAATTTTGATTTTCAAATTTTATTCTTATCGACTATTACTGATTTTTTCTCTCCTCAAGTTAAGTTGAAACTTTTTGTGCTTATTTTATCTTTCATTAACTCTCCTTTTGCACTTTTTTAAAAGTAAGGATTTTAGATTATAGAGTATGTTCTTCAGTAATAGCATATATAAGCAATTATTTGAAACATGTACCATATCGCTTAAGATAAGTTATAGAGCTTGAAGTGAGATCTCGGACAGGGATAGCCGTACTAACCTCAAGAGAATTTTAATACTTAAACCTTATAATGATTGACTTTTTACTCTAAAGTATTCTTAAAGGGCTAGACAAATATAGCCACCAGTGATCTCCCACACTTCTCAAGATGATTGAACTTTTCTATCAAGGAATTATACTTGTAGTTATGGTCATACTATCAATATAGACATGTCAAACATTTTAGTTAAAATACATAAATATATTTAAAGTAACAACCTATATAAATTATATGTTATGGTTTTAAATAATTTGTTAGTATCATTAGTATATGAGTTGTCAAGAAAATATTTTTTATGTGGTGAAACATATGTATTTTATTGCTCATGCATGTTAGCACTACGTGTATATTTACTTTAATCAAATCTTACTATATTAACATTGATAGAGGTAGGTAATGTAGAAACATATATGTGCTCTACTCATTATCTAAACAAATTTTTTGTAATAGGAGATGTTGATAATTTAGATATAGATTTGAGGGGGTGCTTAATTTTTCTAATAATAAGATGAAAATTAAGTTATGTAAATTATCGATCATAATAAGAGAACATTGGTACTTAAATGTAAATTTAGGTCTACTTTAGATCCAGTTTCTTAACCACATATGTGGGTAATATAAATTAGTCATGAATTAGTTTATATTGTTTTACACAATTATAGAAGTGGATAATTGTTTAGAAAATAGAATACATCCAATAGCTATTATTATTATTATTATCAATGGTTTTTTGTTTAGACCTAATTGATGGTAAGATATTTCTAATTCTGATGAGAATTTGTAGAATTTACCTTTTGTTTTCCTATCAAGTTTTGTGAGGATTAATCCAGGCTCCAGTGGGGAGCTCTAGTTAGAATATCTAGTATTTATCTTTTTTTCTAGTGTGATATGTATTTAGTTGAAATCTAGTCTTCAGATATATAAACTCTTAATACAATCCTTTCTGTGACTTCGTAAATTTATAATTTATCTTCTAACTTTTAATCAAGTTAATGCAAAATTTTTGCATGACAAATAGAAATTCTAGTATTCTTTTATCTTATATTCAAAAATTGTTTTTTATTAAAAAAGAGAGGCCCTAGTAGTATTATTTTCCACATTAGTTGAAACTCGGCTTGCATTCTCACACAAAACATGTTGAATTTGTTATATCACAGGATTATATGTGTAGTATTATTTATATATCAGATAATGCATAAAATTAAATTAAAATATTGATATGACATAATGTTTTAGTAAAAATGTATAAACTTATTTAAACTAATAACTTATAAAATTTATTACGATGGAGTATTAATATAAAGTGCTATTGCTACGTGGTTCGTTAAGTGAACATTTTTCCATATTCCATAAGTTTTTATTTATCCTAATTTATACATGTTTATTTGACATACATAGTGGAACATAGAAGTATAGTTATTTTATTTCAAAATGTCTAATTTAGAAATATACATATGTATCGTACTTTATGAATATTGATTTATTTTTTAAATATATACCACTATTTATGGGTAGATTTCAAATACTTTTTGTTTACTTTTCATAATGATAAAGGTGAATAATTTATAAAAATCATTAGTAGGTATTTTAAATTATCTTTCATAACGATAGATGTGGATAATTTAGATATAAAGTTAGAGGATTATTTTAAATTATCTTTCATAATGACAAAGTTAAGTAATTTAGACACAATGCTAGGGGGTTATTTCAAATTATATTTCATAATGGCCAAGGTGGATAATTTATATGCAAATATAGGGGGTTATTTTGGAATATTTTTCATAATAGCATATGCAGGTAATTTACATATAGTATAGGGGGTTATTTTCAATTATCTTTTGTAATGCCCAAGGTGGGTAATTTACATACAAAATTAGGGGGTTGTTTTATGTATTTTTCATAATGGCAGCGGTGGGTAATTTTTTAAATAAACTACAATATAGATCCAATAGCTATTATCGGTGATGATGATTAAAGTCTATCAAATCAAAGGACGGATGTTTCTAATTATTGTGAGAATTTCTAGGACTTATTAATTTTTTTTCTGGCGCGTCTGATGAGAATTAATGTGGTGCCTCCGTTGGGGCCTCTAATTAGAAATAGTAAGATAAAATAGAATAGAATTTATTTCAAGACTAAAAACTTTATAATCCTCTGGAAAATAACCTAGCTAGAGCTACTAGCATCCACGCGTAGTAAAGTCAATAGACACTTTTGTTCATTATATTAGTCTTGTCGTCTTTTCTTCATTATAATCACCTGAAAAAATCAGACTACACATTTGCTTCGCACCACTCTGTTCAGTTGCCCTTAATTTTGCTACTCGATCATGTCACCGGCCGTCTCTACAAATCAAATTTATAGAGACAGCTTGGGAACTGTCCCTACAAATCAATGATTTGTAGCAACGGTTTCGTAGGAGCGGCTGGCTGAGCCGTCCCTACAAACCATCTTGAGTCATCCCTACAAATGATTAGTGTAGTAATTATCGGTGTTTCGAACAAACACCAACTAGTAAATTTATATTTATTGCACGTTAGGTTCAGATGGTGTACTAAAAGACACAAGGTATATACTGATTCGAGCATAATGTCCCTACGTCTAGTTTGCTGCTGCTCATGTTATTAGTACTGAAAAAGGTTCGTAGTAGGGGGTACAAACGGTCGAGAGAGGGACAGGTCCCAAGTCTCTGATGGAAAGGTCGAAAGGATTCCAAGAACTCGGTTGCTGCTAGGCTGTGTGTCGTGTGTGGAATTGATCCATCCCTTTAGCGAGGTGTCCTGCCCTCCCTTTTATAGACCAAGGGAGAGCAGGGGTTACAGATGGAAGAAAGAGAAAAAAAACCAAAGGTAGAAAATGTCCTTCGAAGGTACCGGGTCTTCCTTTTCCCTTGAGCCTACCCTGCTGACATGGCAGACCATGCCAGGGATGGCACGTTCGCTGATCCTGATAGGGTCGTGCTCTGGCTTTGTTTCAACAAGTGGTCACATGCCATCCTACTCTAGCGGACGGTGCGTCGTGCCAGGGTGCCGAGCCGTGACCCCACGGGGAGTAGATGCGGAAGTGACTATACATCCATTACTGTAGATGATGCGAGTTCTCTCTTGAATTGTAGTGGTTGTCGTATGCCTATGTCAGGATCCGCGTCCGAGGGCTGATGGCGGCGCCCACAACACTGTAAGACAAAAGTCGACGCCTACAACACTGTTCGGGCTCTGCCATGCACGGAACGGCTTAAAGCGTCCGTCCCGTCGTATCCTGATGGTACTTTCCTACAGGCGTGCAGGGCATGGTACTCGGTACCGCGGTTGACTCAAATGTCCTATCTTACCCTGTGCCCGTCATTATGAAGGAGTAGGGTGCAGTTGTCGGGCGAGGCAGAGCCAACCCCGTGACGTCGGGCGAGACAGAGCCTGTCCCGGGACGTCGGGCGGGGCGGAGCTAGCCCTTAGCCATCGAGCGAGGCGGAGCCAGCCCTCAAACGTTGGGCGAGGCGGAGCCAGCCTTCAGTCGTCGGGCGAGGCGAGGCCAGCCCTCGGGGTCGGGCGAGGCGGAGAGTGCCCCTAGTCATCGGGCAAGGTGGAGCCTGCCCCCAGACGTCGGGCGAGGTGGAGTCTGCCCCCAGACGTCGGGCGAGATGGAGTCCAGCCCTCGGGGGTCGGGCGAGGCGTGGCCAACCTCTGGTCGTATGGACAAGAAGCGCAGTTGTGTTTTTGTCTGCTTGAGAGCATCAACGTTTAATGGTTATTAGCTCTACCTCATTGTTTACCCCAGTATTAGGTTCCCAACAGTAGCCCCCGAGCCCCCGGGTGATTCGGATAGAATCACCCAGGGGGTGATTTGACTTGCCAGAGGGTGCGCGCGAGCGCACTCGATGGGTGTAGCCCCCGAGCCCCTGGGTGATTCAGATAGAATCACCCGAGGGGATTTTCCATTCGCTAGAGGGTGCACACGAGCATACCCGTCGGGTATAGCCCCCGAGCCCTCGGGTGATTCGGATAGAATCGCCCTAGGGGTATTTCGGACCCTTCATGGGTATGGCTGTGAGATTTGGTATTTTGACAACTGGATAGCTTAAAGGGAACCCTGGTATCCCGTTCATGGGGATTTGGCCAGGGTTAGCCCGGTTGAGACTCAATCGTGGATCGAGACTCCCTTGAGGTTTGTGTGTCTGAGTTCTGGCCGTTTGTGGGCCCATCCCTCGTTGGGACGACTGTTGAAACTATTGGGC